TATAATTCTAGTCGTAATATAATCCTAATTAATATAAGTAGTCTAATCCTAGTGCGACTCTAATTCTAGAGCAGTGTTGTAAACTCGTCAGTCAGCTTCGTTGAACCTGTTCCTTTGACATGTTCCAATCGTCAGCTTGCTTCTTCATCAACACTTGCTGCAGACACGTCAGTCAGCTTCGTTGGACTTGTTCTTTGATATGTTCCAATCGTCAGCTTCCTTCTTCTTCAACAAAAATAACTATTACAAATATACTTAGTGTAATTTCAAAAATAAGGAGAAACAAGCTAGTTGTGCTCTATATTTTATTTCGATCCTCGTAAGTCGTAACTAAAAATGATTAGGTTGGTCACGAGTTTGTCTCAAAATGCTGAAATGTCTCTAAATGTCAGGTTTATCAGCCAATTTAATACTAATAATACTCCTAGTACTTAGGTTGAAGTAATTATCTTTGTCTACTGTAAGAATATTGCAAGAGGCAAGTTGCATGTGGTAAAACATGATTAACTATAAACGAGTAAAGTACATTACATATATCGATAGTTCAACACTTCAACTTAATCAAATCATAATCTCAAATTCATCATTATGATAAAAATCACAACTTACATTAAATTCTGATTCGCATCACATAAAATTTGTATCATCGCCACAAACATAGAATGGTATCCACTTTGTGTATGGTATTTAAGAATAATCCACTTTGAATTATTCGCTTTCCTATGTTATAAAATATACTATAGTAATCATTTTACTAAGGAATCCTTGGTAATTTACTTTAGATGGCCAAACATGTATAACATAGTTTCAACAGGGAAAAAACAAACATATCCAAAATAAATTTTAAAAAAGACATTATTTTATTAATTTTTTGCCGGTTTTAAACATAAATGTCTTATCAATTTTCATGAATGATGATGAAAGGCAAAGCATGCCTCTTCTTTTAAGTTTAGATAAAAGGCATTTTTCTTGTTACCTCTTATATTTTGTTCTGTTCACTGTCACGCCCACCACCTTCTTACTATATTTTCCACCTTTTTTTCCCCTTCAATTTTCTTCTTTCTCCTCAATTATTGTTTGCAAAGTCAAAAGCCTAATCGCAACCTTCAATTCACCTCTTTAACCACATTACTATGCGGAGTTCCAATTTTCACTAAGAAAGTTCAAAATATATGAATAAGTAAATATATAAAATAATCGAAAAGAGTTCAACATCTTCTATTTATACATAAAAATATAACAATAGCGCAGATTGATAACGTGTTATGATTTTATATAATTTACTACCTTTTTTTTTTTTTGCATATTGTACATTTTACTCCATCTGTCCACTTTTAATTGTCATGTTGCGCTTTTGAAAGTCAATTTGACTAATTTTCAAAGTTAAATTAAATTACATCAATTTGATATTTTTTTAAATAAAAATAGATATTCAGAAACTATACAAAAAATACTATAAATTCCAATTTTTTGCATCTCATGAAAAAAATACATCGTAAAATATTAGTCAAAGTACTTCTTCATTTTTAATCAAAGATTCTAGTTTGAGTCTCCTCGGGTACATAGTTATTATCGTTTGATTATAAATAAGGAAATTATGACAATTAAAAGTAGACTTAAGTAGTAGTAAGAAAATTTCAATGAACGGAGTCACGTAACCACCCTTAGCCTAAGCCCTAAGGTAGATTTGTCAATGTACACGAGTTCATGCTCTTGATATGAGCTTTGAAGAAAAATTAATTACTCTATTAATTGATGAAAGCCCTATATATATATATATATAAAATTGCGTATATAAGTAATTCACTATGCTTATACGTATGCATATGAAATACGGTGATTATAAATTTTGCGTATATAAATAATTCACTATGTATACACATATGCATATGAAACATGACGAAATAAAAAAAATATAGTGTATGAATACATAATCGGTGCAGATGATTCCATGACTTTTTAATTCTACCCCAATATGTGTGAGTGATCTATAAATTACACTTGCATAAGGTACCAACCGTGTTTTAAAAGGTGGGGCGGTATATAAGGTGTGACGTTTTATGTAGCACAGGTGAGACATAAGTCTTAAGGCACGGTACAATGCGTAAATTTTATGGATCTGTAGAGTGACATCTCATGTATGTTCAATTTATAATTTTACTACTAAGAAAATAATCAAAAGTTAAAGTTTCAATGATTTTACAAATAAATTTTAACAAATAACCAATAATATAGAAAAAAAATCTTAGTATCTTAATTGACTTATTTTAATTTTCATAAGTCGATTTCATGTCTTTTAATCTCCTTCCCATTTTCCCGATTAAAAAAAAACTAAAATTAATTTATACCAAACAGTGCGAATAGGAATAGTGGGTCAGGTTTAGGTGTCTGTAGTTCTATAGATTGAAAAACATGACACTTAATATTTCCTAAATTTCTTCTTGGATTTTGTCAAAAAAGTCAAATTGAATTATATATATTGTTATGTTAAATCAAAAGTGTATTCATTATAATATAAAAAAAGAGCCTCCACCGTTTAATTTTGAACTTGAATATATATGCATGTCAGAAAGAATAAAATAAATAAATAAAGTTAAATTCCAATTACAATCAAAGTGTTTTGCTTCCTATTTTATACCACTACAACAAAAATAACTTTTAGCGATAATAAACACACATTAATAAAAAATGTTAAGTCTTTATCGACATTAGTTAAATGTCATTAGATACAATGTCGCTAAAGGCTTTAGGAACATATACAAAGAGTACTAATTGCCGCTAAAAATATATATTTAGCGATAATTGAGTTATTCCCGTTAATTAATTGCTACTAAAATCTTTTTTTTTTTAATGTAATGTATGCTTCTCTAGGAAAACCAACCCCTTATTTCAATGTCTCCTAATAAAGAAGAACCAAAAGTCAATGGCAATAACACTTTTTACCAAGTTAATTTAAAGGGAAAAAAGAGAAATATATCCCCTAATTATCGTAAATGGTATACAAATACCCTCTGGCATATTTTTGGGACATTGGTGCCCTTGTTGTCCAAAAACTAGAGCATATATGCCCTTCACACTAACGGAAGACTAAATAGGGACACGTGGCACAATCTTATCCGTCAATAAATGTTGGATCGATGAATAAGATTATGACACGTGTATGTCCGTTAGTATAAGAGTATATATGCTCTAGTTTTTGGATGACAGGGACACCAATGTCCCAAAAGTATGACGGAGAATATTTGCATACCATTTACGATAGTTCAAGAGTATATTTATCCTTTTTCCCTTTAAATTAACTTGGTAAAAAGTGTTATTGCCATTGACTTTTGGTTCTTCTTTTCTTTTCTTTTTCTTTTTGCCTTTTTAGCTTTGTCTATTCATTGCTGAGTAGACTTTTTAAAAGAGGTTACCTTTATTAATGAAGAGCCTTCAATTTTACTATGGCCATGCATTAGCCAGGTAGAAGTAGATGAGAAAATACCAACAATTATTTAACACAACGAAAAAAATATTATTCCGTGGGGTGTCTAGTTTGAAGAAAAGTTATGAAATTAATTATATTGAAATTAGTTATATGCAGATTAACTATTTGAATATAATCTTTGATTAATTGTTTGCTTTATTGTATTAATAAAAGTAAAAATTACACAAATCTCATAATGTTAAAAGCTAATAACATCTTATTCTTATTTTTTTTTCCGAATTACAATCTCTTGAAATTTAAGGATTATGAATACATCACATAACGTCTCGATAGATCGCGTCTCGATACATTATCTTTATTGATACAAAACACACTTGTCCCAATACATCATATCCCGATACATATTGTAAGAGTGATGTATCCAAAAATAGAAGAGAGAGAGAGGAGGAAAATAGGGACTTTTAGTAATTTCAAATGATAGAAAATTTTAGAGGATATGATAAATAGGTTGTGAATTACTGAATTTAGGTGATTAAAATAACATGCATTGCATAAATTTTAAAAATAAATTATTTGTTTACGAAAATAGTTTCCACTTTATTTAGCTTTGTTATATTAGTGATGTATAAAAAGGTTTTGAGGGACGTATTTTTATTATTTTATCCTAAAATTATTCCTCCACCCAAAGACATGAATAACTTATCGCTATCTAATTATAAATTCTGATAGAAGTTGTCTAACAAATCAAAACATTAAAGGTACTAAAAATTTATCCCACAATTAATTTTCCTTATCCATCATACCACACATATCCTATTTATTACAAAAGTATTTGGACTACATTTTGATCTACTAAGGCAAGGAACATGTATTTTATTTTTACTATTTAAGGAGCAGGTATTCTATTTTCAAAAGTATTACTAATGCTATTTTAAATTTTTTTATTCTCAAATTTATCCAATCCGAGCAACGAGTAATTTGGTTATTTATTTAATGCTATATGCGTAACGTATAATATATGGCTAACACATTCAGTAAATTTAGTCATGCTACTATAAATGTAAAATATTAATTCCTTACATACTAATGCAATTTCTACAGTAAGAAATTGTTTCAGTATAAAAAAAGAAGCATTTTTAGACAAATAAAAAGAAAAGGTAAACAAACATCTACAAAAGAAAAAAAAGGAAATTTTTGAATGTAAAAATCGTTCCTTAGTAATATTTTATCATAACAACTAAGTTCTGTTTAAAATTGATTTTCATTTTATGTTATATGATTTTTAATTAGGTGATCCTAAATTAAATTTATATCAAATATATCAAAATGTCTTTTAATCTTATGATTCTAAACATGTATAAAAATCTGTTATCAAGTTATTATTAAAAAAAAAATGATTATAAAAACAAACTTATAATAGAATGTACTCATTCCTTTTTTCAAACGAAAGAAACTCGTTTTTAAAAATCAAAAATAAAATAACAACGTCATTATAAAGAAGTTTGAACACGGGTTTGTTGGAGTATAAAAGTTTAGTTTTTTTTTCCTTGTTAAAATAAGAGCAAAAGAATAAGTCAAAAACTCCATGTTCCCATGTCTCATATGTTGGTAGCTTCGTAGAGGCAGCCTCAGTTGGATACTGCTCACGTAGTGCCCAATTTACTATTTTTGTGTGTGTGTGTGTGACCACCATTAAACTATTTTTCTTAGTGCTAATAAAGTATATGCAACATCCTCTTTTTCTATTTTGTTTATCCCCTTTTCTTCTCTTACCTCTTCTTCTTCACCAGTTCTTTTTTTCTCTCTCTGGTTTGTTGAACTGCATTTAATGTTGGGGTTTGAGTCCGGATGAGAAAGATAGAGACTTGTAGTAAATACTGATTCATACAGATGATGATATTTCTGAAAAATAATGTTTCTTGGCTCTGACCCACTTTACCTTTCTTGATCTACTTATCTTATCTATGAAATTCTTGGTTTCTTGATGATGCTGTTGTTGTTCTTGTTCTTGTTTTAAGGTACAGATCTCTGATCTTTGAGCTCTGCTGGTTTATTTTCAGATCTTATGTTTCTTGGTGTCTGTAGATTTGTTTCTTGGTTTTCTTTCTTTACTATGTATGTTTACTGTTCTGCAAATGTGGAGATATTCTTGGGTTATCTAGTTTTTGGCTTCTTTTTTTTCCCCATGTTTTCTGGTGTGAAGATAAGTTACCCCTTTTGGTAAAAATCTCATCTTTTAAGGTTGTCATCTTCAGATTGAAGTTTTTTACCTTCCTTTTTTTCTGTTGGGTGTAGAGGGGTGGTTTGTTTTTTGATTTTATTGATCTTTTGGGAATTTGGAGTTTTAATTTTTGTTTTGCTGAGAAATTTATCTTGTTGTCTTGGGTTTTTCAGGATTCTAAAAGAAGTTATGGAGCTTTGATTATCCTAGAGCACTATGCAGGTTTGTTATCTTCTGGACTCTTCATCTGTACCTCAACCTGTATGTATAGTTTAAGTTGTAGGTTTTCATGTGAAATGAAGTATCTATGTTGGTTTGTAATTAGAAAAAGTTAACAGGGAAAAAACCTTTTCTTTTTGGTCATAAGTAGATAAAGGGCAAAAAAAAAAGTAGATAAAGGGCAGCCCGGTGCAGTAAAGCTTCTGCAATAATGAAATTGGTACTTGAAAGGCTATGAACGTTTTTTTATAGACTCTGGTTGTCTCCGTAGCTGCTTATGGAATTTGCATGATATGTTTAGTATTAAGCTTTGAGAGAGAAATGAATTTGTAACTTCCTGACTTGAATCTAGACATTGAGTGATAAACTGACAAAGAGTTGAATCTTCCTTTCTTGAACTGGAATCTGGTTTTGAACTGCTTGAGTGCTTGGTATACCTGTTGGTGTCAACTTCAGCGAGTTTACATCTTCTATGTGAGTAGCTTATTTCATTATTAATGATGATTTGACTGAAAGATTGATGAGATTTGAAAGCAATTATATCTTTTATACTCATTTTCTTGCAACTCAGCTAGGACAACTGGCATGAGGCAGCACCTTAAGAATCTAAAGAAGTTGCATCTGTTAACAGTCATGTGATTTACTTTACTTAGGTGCCCATGTGAAGATGTCTCTTTATGCTCTTTTCTTTTCCCTTTCCCTTCTTTTCTCTTTATATGCCTTTCTTTCTTTTTCATCTTCGTTTTTCTTCAGAAATCTATTCTTGTTACTGAAATACGACTTGTTTTCTTGTTCTTTTGCAGCTGTAACTATTTGTCAAGCTTTCTTTAGGATACTGGAAGATTGTATGATATGAAAGAGTTAATAGGCCAGTAACATTTATTTATGGTGTTTGGCCTTTGACCTAACAGTTTCAAGTTCAGATGTCGTTCCGCAGTATAGTTCGTGATGTAAGAGATAGTATTGGTAGCTTATCAAGGCGAAGCTTCGATTTAAGGCTGTCTGGTCATCATAGGGACAAATCACATGGTTCATTTTATGACTTAAGTGACCAGCCTCCTGTTATCCAAGATAGTTGTTGGGCCAATCTTCCTCCAGAGCTACTTTTTGATGTAGTTAGAAGGTTAGAGGAGAGTGAGAGCACATGGCCCGGTCGTAAGCATGTTGTAGCATGTGCTGCAGTCTGTAGGTCATGGAGGAGTATGTGCAAAGACATTGTTAGAAATCCGGAATTTTGTGGAAAGCTAACTTTTCCCGTTTCCCTAAAGCAGGTACTACTTTAGCTTGAAGGAATATTTCTTGTGCTAACTTATTTAAATTTTAAAGTTCAGAAATATGTGGTTGCTGTGTGGTCTGTGGGATCAACCCAAGTGGCAGTTCTATTGACCGTTAGAGTTGGATAGTTGTAGTGGAAGTTACATGCTAGAGAAGTCTATTGACTAATCTCTTACCTTCTCTTTACAGCCTGGGCCTCGTGATGGAACTATTCAGTGCTTCATCAAGCGGGATAAATCTAATTTGACTTACCATCTTTTCTTGTGTCTTAGTCCTGGTAAGCATTACATTGTAGGCTGATATTGGCTTGATGCTTAAATAATTTACATACATATATTTAACTCATCCGTTCGTTGAAAAAATTCAATGATACTATCTTTGCACCCGAGGCATATAGAAGGTACTTGCAATTTAGAACAGGAGGCAACCATTATCTTTGCTGTCTTTCCAATCTCCTGTCAGATGAAACCACTGATCTGTTCCTCCCCCGTCCCTTCCCACTCAAACCCAAAGGCGTAAAGTGGAAACAAATCAAAATAATTTAAAAGTTTTCTCAATTGAGTTAATGATATCATAGAGACTTATATTTCCAGTTGTAATCTCTGTCTAGAGATATTTGGTTGTGATGCGTTACTGCTTTAGTTACTCTTGCTTCATTGCCCATATAATTTCTATGTGAGTGGCAGTTGTTCAGAGGTTAATGAGTATTTCAACTTTCTTTGTAGCATTGTTGGTTGAGAATGGAAAGTTCCTTCTCTCTGCAAAAAGAACTAGACGTACGACTTGCACAGAGTATGTTATCTCAATGGATGCAGAAAACATCTCTAGATCAAGCAACACCTATATTGGAAAATTAAGGTAATTACTCAAGCTATTCAATTTGTTTTCCAATAACTTTCTTGTTTTTACCTGGTATTACTGAGATGTATCAGGAAATCTTAATTTAATGAAAGAACAGAAACACGCATTTGATATATTCATCATCCCTTCTCCTCAAAAATGGTTTCTCCGTTGTTAGCTAATACCAATACTAAAGCATGAGCAACCGTGGAGACTTGAGATTCGTCAGTAATTAGCCATGGTTTTCAATGGAAAATAAGTAGACATATAGTCTATTACGCGTGGATAGATTGATCAGGAAAATAGAAGTTCTACGTGACGCTAGTTGTCCTAGATAAAAGCTGAAATGAAGTTCTCTGTGGCATCATCTTATTATATAGTCTGGGCTATCAAAGTCCCTTTTCCATTCTGTTGTTGAGGAATGTATCTTAAATAATACTAGTACATTTATATTATTGATTCTCCTTTCATTATGGGATGATATAATTTCACTGTCCATTGCAGATCGAATTTTCTAGGTACAAAATTCATTATATATGACACACAGCCTCCTCACACCGGTGCACATGTCCCTCCTCCGGGGCGCACAAGCCGTAGATTCACTTCCAAGAAAGTCTCTCCTAAAGTCCCAACTGGAAGCTATATCATATCCCAGATCACTTACGAGCTGAATGTGCTTGGAACACGGGGTCCACGGAGAATGCACTGCGTCATGCACTCAATTCCTGACTCAGCCCTTGAAGCCGGTGGCTCTGTGCCTGGTCAACCAAAGCTTCTCTCAAGGCCCCTTGAGGATTCATTCCGCAGCATTTCTTTCTCAAAGTCTCTTGATCATTCCACGGAGTTCAGTAGTGCGCGATTTTCTGATATTGCTGGAGGATCAACTAATGAGGAAGATGATAACAAGGGGAAACCACTGGTCCTAAAGAACAAGGCTCCACGATGGCATGAACAACTGCAGTGCTGGTGTCTGAATTTCCGAGGACGAGTGACAGTTGCATCTGTCAAGAACTTCCAGTTGATTGCTGCCACTCAACAACCTGCTGCTGCACCGACAACATCTCAGCCAACAAGTCAATCAGATCATGACAAAATCATCTTGCAATTCGGGAAAGTAGGCAAAGATATGTTTACCATGGACTACCGGTATCCTCTATCTGCATTTCAGGCATTTGCCATCTGCTTGAGCAGCTTTGACACAAAATTGGCTTGTGAATAGAGCTATAACATTTTTACATTTAGGGTGCCTAAAGTTATTAACTGTAATGCTTCTATTCTGGATTTGTTGTACTTCTTTTCACTAATGAAAATGGAGATTGTCCCCCTAAAATTACGCCATGGCGTAAAAATGCTTCCTGTGAAAAGTTGTAAAAGAAATCTATTTCTGATCAATGCGCAGGGCACCGACTACATCACTGCCATTTACAAGAATTTCCACCAGAAAATGAGATTACACTAGATATTTATACGCATGTAATATTAAGAGCATTTTATCGCATTTGTGACTTGAAAACTGTTCAAGAGCAAGGATATTCGTGTATATTTAAACTTGTATAAAGTTAAATAAATAGATATACAAATTTTACGTGGCATAATGCGACATTATTTCAAGTGTATCTCACATGTATTATGCCTTTTTCTATTTGGAATTTAAATTCATTTAACATAACTGGTTGAAACTTGAAAACTAAACGGGTATCTGAGTCTAAATCAATTACTTTGACTAGTCAACTATAAATATTTTACTTCAAGTCATTTACCAAGAAATAGAATATTTTACTTCAAGTCTAATTAAGCTGGGAGTATTTTAAAAGTTGTACATATAAAATCCAAAATAAATCACTTTCAACTACTTTTAATAAATTTATTGCAACACTATAATGAAATTATTGTTCATTATTACACTTAAAACTTTATCTACTCACAGAGATACACCTGCACATAACTTATGTATATTATTGTTGAAGAATTGGTTTAATTTGTCAAAGTTATCAAACATAAAACAAAGATTATAGCTTTGTTAGTGTACAGTCCAAACTGGGCATGTTAGATATTTATTTTTTTTGGGGAAAAAATAGCATGTCTAAAATAAAGAATTTGATTCAAAAAGTCTGAAACACTATCTCGAAGAAAAACCCAATGAAATAGATATGTCTAGGAAGATGTGGAATATATTATTATTTTAAATTTAATCAATTTGATAAATTGCACCTAGATTTTAAAAATCACTTAAAAGAAAAACAACACAAGAAAATAAAATAAAATAACGAGAGGGGGTTGCTCGAATAGTAAGTCCTCCCATTTTCAACCAGAAAGTTGCGAATTCGAGTGTCTGTGTTGTTTTGACCATATGATAATGGTAATATGATTAGTATCTAGACAAACTTATAACACATCTAATATTTCAGTAAATATTTGTCATCTTTTGTGAATTCAGATTTTCGTAATTTCACCTGGCACCTGCTATTAATAACTTTTCCACGTGTAATCAAATACAAAAGATGTCAAATGATGCAAGGAGGAAGCAAACAATGGTCACCGAGATAAATGTGGTTATGTCTGCGTATTGATCGATTTTGTTCGGATTTGAAGTATATTGGTTTAATTTATTGATTATTGGTTTGTAGATATACTAGATTTGTTATTGAATCATTAAGATATTGACTTATCAATTTATCGATTATTGATCACGATTTAATCACTAAGATTTGACACAAAACGAATATGTTGAAAAACATTCAAAAACAAAGTGACAAACCAAGTGAATCATACACACCAGCACATGAGTTAACAGATCCATCTTGCTCAAAAGCAAAAAAAACTAGCACATTGTATTGAGACAACAAGAAATAAAAATATGAAATTAAATTCTAAGTCAATAACTTTATTTACCGAATAATATATATAATTTACTATAGAGTTATTGGTTAACCTGTTAGAAAAAAACTTCAAATCATTAAAATCAATGACTCGATAATTAAAAAAATAAAATTATTATCCAAATTACAAAATTAATAACCCATCATCACTAAATCGATATTATTACAATTCGAATTATCGATTTCCATTTGGGAGAACCATAAAATAGCATAAGAACAAAGAGTAGTATATAAAAAGGAATAAAGTATAAATACCTTTAGCACCACCATAAGAAAAAGTACAAATATAAAAGTTTGAGGGGGAGAAATAGAATAAGTTCAAATTTCGAAGACCATTAATGCAAAAACCTGAAAAACATTCTGGTTCGTAAATCAAGAAATGGTGCTTTACCTCTTAAAAAAAAAAAAAAAAAACTTGTCTTGGTTAACTTGCCATATTTATTACTGTAATATATTTTCATTTGCTTCTTAAATACGTCTCGATTTGCAACCCAATATTTTGTGTCACCAGCAAAGGCAAGGGGCCTTCATGTCCTTCTCTAGGGTTCAATATATGTTCCCTTCTTCCTCTTTCTTCCTCAACTAGCTTTTCCTTCTCAGGTATTCTTCTTGCTTTTTATTAACTCAAAGTTACAATCTTTTTATTTGTTTCATAAAGATCTAATTCTTGGAAATTGAATTTTGATTTGGGGTTTGTTTTTTGAGTTTGAAATTCCATGTTTTTGAGGTTTATGTTGATTTTGTCTCTATGAATATGAAGTGGGTTTTGGTTTTTGTTTGGAATTGTAACCGTTAAAACCCTTAAAGGGTCTGTTTTGATATAAGCATTTAGCTGAATTATGGTGTGTAGTCTTATTTCTGTTTGTGTTTCCTTTGGAAATTTGTAGGATTTCTATATTGGGTTATAAAAATGATGGGTTTTTTTTCCCTCTCTTGTTAACTGATTTTACTTTTTCTTGTTTGGTGTTATGTCAATTGCAGTGTTACTTAATCTTATAAAAAAAAAAAGGGAGAGATTTTGAGGAGGTTTTGTTTAGCGGGTGAAAATGCCTTCTTCAGATAGTCGTGGTTCTTCGATGCCATTTGCGTCATTCCGTCGTTCAATTATGAGTATAAGAAGTGAACAGGTTCATTCTGTGGAATTGAATCATGATTCTACTGTTCAGGAGATTGAGCAGGGAGTATTTCAGAATCTAGTGGCTACTCGATTTCAGGAACTGTCGGTTGCCTCTGGTGATGAATTCCTTTCCATTGCATGGATTCGGAAGTTACTAGATGTGTTTAACAGTTGTCAGGAAGAGTTCAGAATCGTGTTGAGCAACAATAAGGAACTCCTCTTGAAATCGCCTCAAGATAAGCTTTTGGCTGACTACTTTGATAGAACTATAAAAGCACTTGATATTTGCAATGCTGCCCGTGATGGGACTGGGAAAATTCGACTCTGGCAGAAGCATTTGGAAATTGTGGTTTCTTCATTGGATTCTCGACAAAAGACGATTGGCGATGGTCAGCTACGTCGGACTAGAAAAAGTCTGATGGATTTGGCTCTTGTGATGCTAGAAGAGAAAGAAACTGGAACCGTTCTTTCCCAGAGGAACCGTTCTTTTGGACGCCATAATAAAACCAAGGATCACCAGCGTCGTCCTTCTGGGCACTCAAGGTCTCTATCTTGGAGTGTGTCTCAATCTTGGTCAGCATCTAAACAGCTCCAATCAATTGCAAGCCATTTGGTTCCTCCCCGTGGACATGAAATAGCTGCAACAAATGGGATAGCAAACCTTGTCTTTACAATGAACTTTGTTCTCCTGTTTGTACTGTGGGCTCTTGTTGCTGCAGTCCCTTGTCAAGATCGAAGCCTCCAAATTCATTTTTCTATCCCAAGGCAGTTCTCATGGAGCAATGCCCTTTGGTTGCTTCATGGTAGGATAATGGATGAAGCTAAGAAGCCAGAGCGCCGCAATTCAAATGGATTGTTGAAAGAAATATATAAGCTAGAAAAATGTGTCCATCACTTGACTGACTTGATAGACTCTGCTCAATTACCGTTGACCAAGGATCTGATGGAAGAAATAAAAAAGGGTGGAGAAGATTTATCAGCTGTCTCTGAAGTTCTTAAGACTGGTCTTACTCCACTAGAACGCAATTTAAAGGAAGTATTCAGAAAAATTATGAGTTGCCGGGCAGAGGGTCTTGAACTCCTGGGAAGTGCGAATCAGCCTTAGACTATATGTCGTCTTCAAGTTCTAACAAAATGAAAAAACATATATACATTCCTATTTTGGTTTTGCTGGTATTAAAGAAGTAAAAAAGGAAACAAATGTAGCAACTGTGGTTTTAGCAGGTAACTGTTTGTATGCACTACTATACCTTATGTAAAACCAGTTTCCATTTTCATGTTCTGGATTGTGATGGTTTCTAAATTTTTTAATTTTTTTTCCTTTTTCTGGGAGGGGGGTGGAGAAGGTGTTTTGTCATGATTATACTTTTACTTGAATGCAGCTATTGATTTGTTGTATCTCCTTGGTGACATACATATTAACTGATGAATACATGACAATCCTTGTATTGTCAATGATGTTGAAATTTGAGGAGCTGATAAGAGTTGTCAGTTCTAAGTTCATATACTTGGTATTTACCATATGCAGAGATCGTCTAACAGTAATTTTGGCCTTGCAGAGATTTCAATGTCTTTTAGACGCATAATGTTAGGAATGTAATTAGCTCATTCAGGTGCACTGAATCCCCAAATGAAAAGACAACCTTCTTTGAACTGCAGGGACAAGTGCAAGATTTTATCTTATTCAACCACCTGATTCTTCGCGTCTTAGTGTTTTTCTTCACCATTTCTTACCAGCTGCAATCAAGTGATAGATATACTTCCCCTGAAGCTTGCTTAAATTAAGCATGCATCATTCAATGTGATTGTGGTTGATTTCCTTTGTCGCTCTGGTTATAGTCGATCGATCCGCAGTTGTTACTTAGTATTTGCAGCATTCAGTCATACTAATATAGTAATGTTTTTGATATAGTCTTTTGGTTTACTGGATTTATGCATTTCTGCAATTCCCATTCTATATTTTGGCTAGAATAAATTAAGCAACTCCCTCTGCAACTTGGAATTCTTGTCCCATGTTACATTATCTGCAGGTTGAGTTACCCTTATCTGGGACATTTAAGACAGCAACTCCTGAGTATTTCCTGTTACTTTAATTATGAAATATACCTTATCTCAATTTAATGTTGAAGTTGATACCTCTGTTTTATCGTCCTTGCATTTTTTTTGGTTCAAACTTTTTTATGTTTATTTGATATAAATAATTATTTTTGGTCAGCCTCACATGTCTGCAGCATGCAGTCATCCCATTTGTCAATAAGATGGGTTGCACATTAAATTTGAGCAGTTATTGTTGGTCCCTCCTTAACTTGCTATCAAATAAGACCATGTGAGAACAGCCTGTATCAGGGCACATGACAATTCTGGTATGATTAAAATGAGTTTTAAATTAGGTTTATAGATATATTTAGTAAACTTCTCAGTCTATCGGAAACAATTTTTCTACGGATACAATCTGCACATGTCTTACCCTTTCTACATTATTCTATTTGTAGAATTATACCGAGTATGTTATTAGACTCCATTGTGTGTTGTGATACTAGAAGTACATGAAACCAAAACAAGAAATGAAATTGGCCTTACATGTTTGTTTTACATTCAAAATTAGTGATGGATATTTAAGAAGCATAAGAGTAATAGATATTTAATAAAGTACTTGTTATGTTGACAGTCAATTCGTTCGATTTTAAATCCTATGGTTGGAATTTTCCGAATTCTGATTTCTGATGTGACATTTGTCAGACATGATGCTATTTGCTTCCTCTTACAACTGTTTTGGATCTTGCTGATTATGGATCCCACCATACTTTTTTGTTGGCCAGGATGTTCAATTATGTGTCACTTTGACAATATTGCCACTTCAAATATATATAATTTCTCATTTAACATGATATCAGAATAAATCTTTATCTTCGAGATATTGCCTAAAATTTGTCACAAACAAAAATGTTGAGAATAACTCACTACCGAATGTCATGTCCCATGAGGGGTATTTTCTTACCTTTGAATCGACTGAATCACTCTTTTAGTTTAGTCTATGAAATTGGCGAATCGTGGGAACTAGTTAGTTACATCATACATGGGGTCATGGATTAAGGTGGAGCAGGCCTTGAACTACTAAGATTTTAACCCGCCCTACTCTGCCATGTTTTGCTCTACCATGTTTTGCATTTTTTCTAAAAGAAAAAAGTTGCCCTGCCCTGCCCCTGATCAAATTGCAAGGCACAGGGAAACAATGCATTACTTTGATTAGATACCAATTTCACTGTGGCTAATCCAGACATTAATTCAAGACTTGGAACATAAATACTTGTATAAATAAGAACACCTCTTATTGTAAAAACAGACACTACTGTAACATTAGTTATTAGTAGTATAGACATATAACCAAGTAAGTTCATCATTCTTCCCTGCAACCAGCATGATATGCCTGCGGAAGCTAAAACTACAATATATTCTCTTCTACTACAGAAAGCTTACAAGCCTTTTATACTACATACCCTAGTCATGCATAATTCATGATAGAACTTTGCAGCTTTTTTCACCTTCAGTGCTCTCTTTAACGGTTCTGTTATCTAATAAGTTAAACTACAGACTATGTGCGGTCCCAAATCCCTTTGGTAACCAGAACAACCTTTTCCTTCTCTGAGTTCTCAGCAGCTCCAACAGAAGCACCATGTCGATTCTTACTTCTTATGGTTAAGGAGATTTGAAGACAACCTACCAGCTCATAGACCGAACTCTTCGCAGAACTCTAGGTGGTCTTCGCTTCTCTACAACTGGTATCAGGTTCTCCATAATCTGCACGGAAATAATATGAAAATGAATATTGAACTGTGAACAGACACATTCCAACAACTGAAAGCAACCTCCCAACACATCTTATTCAGACTGCAAACATAAAGTTCACATACAAATCTCATTTTAAAACTAGGCTAAAAAAGTAATACCGGTCTTTAGAATTTGATATGTATGACCACACAAAATAGTGGACAATAGGGGGTAATTTGGATCTTTTGGAACCCCGCCACTTCCTTTTCCCCATAAGACCCAGGGGGTTACTACACAAAAAAAAAAAAAATGATCAATATCATGAAATTTTTAATCTTCCATTGGACTCCTTTAGCTCTTTCAGTCTTCTCCCAAGATCCATTTTTGTTTCGTTATATCTCCCTTTTCTCACACTATATACCTATAAGTTTTCTAATTTAGGGGGAAAAGAACAGCTTAAGATGTCCCCCTGTAACTAGTTTTATTGAAATAACAAGAGCAGAACAATGCAAAGCCAATGATAAAAACTAGGACGACTATCAGAATCAGATTCAGGTTCATGCAGGAGGAATTACGTCAAAAACAGATTCAGGTTCAATGTAGGATCACCCAAACACCCGATAGATTGAAAATGTAGAACAGCTTCTCTTTGATTGGTCCAACATACCCTATTCCATCCCTCCATTCAAAAAATGCAGAGTTTGCTTCACGAAAGAGGATGGGAAGAAAAGAGAGCCTTGATCTTAGTTTAAGAAAATAAAATGACTGTTTTAGAAAAGGAGAAGAAGAAAAAAGAAAATAGCAAAGATCATTGATCTTAGTTTAGGAAGATTCAAGGTCTTCTTAAAAAAAAAGAGACAAGAAAGACTGTCTTAGGTTAAGTGCCAATAGAAAGAAACTAACCTTCTGATCGCAAAATTACTACCACTGAGTTTGATATCTTTAATCTCATGGGCAAGTAGCACATAGACTATCAGAAGGCAGAGTTGTAGTAAAAAATCTCAACCTCCCTGACCCTTACACTGACATTAACTCAGCATAAGATTGATGTTTTAAAGAGGAAGAACCAATCTCCATACAAGCAAAAGTGTAAGCAAGAATACAAGAGACATTGCAACAGAGAACTTCATGGAATCATCTCCGAACTCTAACTAACTGTGTTTGACACATACAACTTATATACAAATGCATAAGGTTATATCAAGAACAGTCTATTTACATGCATAGGTATGAGTATGACTGCACAAAAAATGTTTCCTAATTCAAAAAGGAAAGAAAGATGAAGAATTTAAGAAAAATCAAAATTTAAAGGAGTTCTTAAGCTGGTTTTGAGAGAAGTTCCAAAGACTATTATTCACAGGAGTTTGAAGTACATATATCTGACCGACAATTCAATACTCTTGGAGTTATCCATCAAGATATAGATTTATGAAGAAGAAATCAAACAGTTGTCAATTCGACACGTGTGTGCATATATTTGCACTGTGTTCTGCATTCTAGTCATGATTGACTTCATCTTTAAGGTCTTGGTTCTTTCTTTTGCCGTGTTTTTTGTAGGAACCTTTTGAATTTTGGGTTGCTTTTTTTGAAGCCAAATGCAACAAGGGTAGCAATTTAGAGAAGTGCTTTTATACCGATTGTCTAGAGTTGGAGAATTGCAGATCTATAAGTAAGCAGGTAAATCATTTGGCAATGTTGCATAAAGGACTACCACATGAAGAACTAGTTGTTTATAAACTGCTTGACCCATTCCTGAATCCTCACACAAAAAATAGTGAGGTTGGAGTTCAATTTGCTCAGTTAATCGGTTGAATTCCTTTCCGTGTCCACAAGAGAATGAATAGCAACAAGCAATAATGTCACAAGAAATGAACAAGTTCAATTTTATATAAGAGGTGGAAAATAACAAAACTCAGCTCATACAGAGAAACAGAAAATAGTACCAAGGTTACTGCAAGCAACACGAAACAGTAAGAGTAGGAGCATGTCTGTGTTTATTAGACAATAGAACAAGCACAAGAATATAGAATTAATCGAGCAATACATAAGAATATATACACCAAGAATTTCATTTCTAATGCATCCTAAATTTTATTACTGAAGTGGCGTAGTATTATAGCGCCAAGGAGCGAAATTCATACCTGCTTAAGTCTCTCTTTATTCTTTTCCTCCTGCATAAGGCCAAAAGAATTGGTTGTTTTAGAAATTTCTTGGAACATACTATCCTACACGAAACTTAATTTTACAAGCTCCAAGTACAAGAAATCAGAACTACTAATAAGTAGCATTACAGTTCTTAAAAATAAAATGAACAGAAAGAAAACGTGCTTTTATTACCAAGAAGATGGAAATTTCACAAGTACCATAAAGATAGGAATTCAACCAAAGACAGAAGCCAAAATGAACAGGCTAAAAACTTTTGTGTAGAAGACTGATTCAACTTTTGGAAATCAAAATTATAATACCAGCCAATTTCACTTCGAAAAACTTTAGATCAGCTTGAATGCTTTTATTACCAAGAAAATGGAAATTTCACAAATCACAAGTACCCTAAAGATATGAATTCAACCAAAGCCCGAAGCCAAAATGCTGAGATGAGCGAGGCTACAGTACAGTGCAACTGAAATTCATAAAGCTAAAAACTTTTGTGTAGAAGACTCGTTCAATTTTCGGAAATCAAAATTATAATACCAGCCAACTTCACTTCGAAAAACGAGTTCAAATGAAAAAGAACAAAACTTTCAATCAGCTTGAATGTTAAGCAAGATCAACCACACTTTGGAAGAGAACTTAAACTAACCTCTTCCCTCACCAGCCTTGCATTTTCCTCCTCCAATTGTGTAACCAGAGACTCCAATTCCACTGTATAAGCCTGAAATTTCATTAATAACACACATGCATGTCTCAATTTTCGCCCCAAAAAAAACAAAACCTATGATCATCCACATGATTAGAAAATTAAATAAAATGAAAGCAAAAGACACCTGCTTTCGCTCTCTAGACCTGGCAGCAGACTCTCTGTTCTTGATCATTCGTCGCTGTTTCTGCTGTGTAGCCCTATCAGCCGGCAACTCCTCCACTGTTGACCTCCTCTTCCCTCTTCCACTCCCAGTAATAGCCACAACCCCATTTCCAAATCCCATGTGGGGTTGGGGTTCCATACCATACCCCCCTGGTCCATTCTGCATGGCCACCGGAAACTGACAATTCCCAGTACCCATCAT